AGGAAAAGAGGAAAGAGGAAGAAGAAGGGACAGCACGCAGTAGTAACAAAAATCCCGAGCGCGACTGTTAGCGAAAAATGTAACAGGAAGTACTGGCGGAAATGACCCGACGTTTCGGCCGGCCGCCACCGGACACGGCTGGGCCTGTAAAGCCCTCCGTGCCCAAATGGCGGGAAAGTGATGTACAGGGTGCAAAAACGACTCCGAAAGTCATTTTGGGGCCTGTAGAACTTTTTGCCCCGTTTGRGGGGGGGGGGGGGGGGGGCGTGCAAAAATGGCGGGAAAGTGTTTTACAGGGTGGCAAAATGACTCCAAAAGTCATTTTGGGGGCCGTAACACTTTTTGCCCCGTTTTGGGGGCAAATTAATTCAAAGGTTTTGTGTGTGTGTGGGCGGGTGGGGGGGGGGTATAACCTTTCCCACCCAGCTACCTCCTGAATGCCACGTGCATGCTTAACCAACTCAATGCTCCGACCTTTTTTTTTTCTTCCCTGAAAAAGAATAAGTGCGCCATTCCGGCACTAAAAGCAGCAAAAACAGGAAAAACAAATTCCCATCTTCTCCAGTCAGAGCGCCATTTCGCTGATCAGCGAGGGATGCGCAAGAGAACATATCATCCAAGCGAGCGATTCTTTTCCCCCTTTTCTTTTCGTTTTTTTCTTTTTCTCTTTTGAACAGCTCATATATTGCAAATTCGAAAAGAGGCCGGGGCCCTCACAATTCAACCGGCGAAAAAATTCCACTGGACGCATCATCCACGGTCCACCTTAGCTTACAGCTCCTGCAAAGCACAAGCCAAATTCCTGACTCATCACTTTTTTAAACCACAACTCACTTCCCTTGAAGTTTCCATCTTCTGGTTTCCAAGCCTCTTGTCTCAGTACCAACTTGGCAGAGCGATTCTTTTCGAACTAATCGCTCTACAGGTGGACTCCGCGTGGCTCTGCCACGTGGCAATTCCTCTCGTTGCTGGAGATGACAGACGAAGCAGCTGTACTGTGAGAGTGGCGGTGTGTAATCGGAAAGCGACGGCGCGGCAGCTTTGCCTTCCGCCGCTGGATTCTGTGTCACTCGCGGAGGATCACAGCGAGAGAAAATAGAACTAGACAGACGGAGAGAGGAAATGGCAAGCGGGCGGCACGATTCATGGGCGAACCAAGCGGGAGAATGGAAGAAGCGGGCTGACGTGGAGGACAAGTCACATGTGTAAAACGCATTCTGCCGGCAAATCCATCAATCTTTGGCCGACAACTTCAACTCGAGGTATGCCTCAATTCCAACCAACCTGCGAGGACAGGATTGTGAGCTACAACACTACGGTCATACTCACAGTAGGATATCTTCAAGCGGTGGAAGGAATTGAGGTCAGATACATAGTACAGGAAAGTCCTTGTGCGAGTACGTCCTAACACCTCTGATAAAACCGGGGGCTTCGTATTCATCAGAAACATTTTTACTTTTATTCTTTCCCTCCTTAAATTTAGACCATTTTTCTTGATTAACCCGTGTCATCCCCGAGCAGAAACCTGTATTGTTTTCCCGAGGGACATCGGAAAGATTTTCGATTTGAAGACCTCTGATTGTTGAGTTTATGTCCGTCATCTCTCTCTCTCTCTCTCTCTCTCTCTCTCTCTCTCTCTCTCTCTCTCTCTCTCTCTCTC